AACCTACAACCTCCCCCTCCATTATCTTCAATAGAATTCCAATTCTAAGCCTGAGTTCAACAAATGTTTTCATGAATTCGCTGAGGGGAAGAAAATTTTGTCTGGTTCCCTCAACACTAGGGAGGTGGTGTCATGGTGACCACAGCTGGACATGGCTTAGCAATGAGTGTCACCGCAGAGGCTTATAGTCTCCATTGGAAGCGTATGTTACAGTGTGACAACGCTGGGGCCACAACTGGGAGACAGGGACCGAGCGTTATCCCCCTATAACAGGAAGTGCCTGAACAGGGACTGTCATGGCAGGATGACCAGGTATTATTTTTTTTTAATGAAAGCAGCAAATTTAAAAAAAAAAAGGTTATTTTTTTTAGTGATTGGTTTACATGTTTTTTATTGGTGATCATTACAGTGTATTTTTTGTACTATGTTTTTATTCCATCAGATATAATTGAATCATCTTTGTGCTTTGTGTTCCCCTCATCGGTGACTACATTGGTTATATTTAAAGGAAATCATCCTCATACAATAGACTGTAACTATAATGAATTGGGTTTTCCTCACAATTTCAAACTCGTCTCCTAATTGGTCCCTTCGGCTGTCCATCAGATCCCCTTTAGCCAATTCAGTTAATAAAACCAGCGCCGACCCCGCCTCTCCAGCCATTCCAGTTGCTGATTGGCCGGCGTTTCCAGCCTTTTCTCGCCCGTTTCCCGCTCATTGGATCGCTCTTGCAGCAATCACTTCGCCCCCTCCCTCTTGTCTTTGTCTTCTGCGACGCAGGGCGCTCTCTCCTCATAGGTCCGCCCAGGTCCAGCCCCCACTCGCTGTTGGTGGGTCGTCTGCTCCCGGCCTGTAACAATTGGTGGGGCCGCTCGTCACTTATCGGGTCGCCGTTCTGCCCCCTTTCCCAGAGTGCTCTGCGCGCCGCGGCCTTGTTCGCGCCTTCAGCCCGCTGAGGAGCTGCTGCTGCTGCCACCATGTCCGACTATCCCGGAGCCCAGACCGGGAACCGCAAGGACGCCTTCGCCGACGCCGTGCAGAGGGCACGCCAGGTGAGGAGGGGATGGGGGCGGTGTGAGCAGGAAGGGAGGCCGGGGAGAGTCTGTGCGGCCGGCATTGTGTGCCATATATTGTGTGTGCAGGTTATGGCCGGCTCTGTGTGCGGAGCGGCGCCGTGTTGTAACCACAGGCAACCAATCACACAGCAGTGCCGGGGGCAGGAGGTCAGGCTTGGCTTAAAGAGGACCTGTCACCGGTACATGGAATTACATTGTCCCATAGGATGGAGATCACACGGCTCCTCTATGGGGCCCTATCTTCTGGGCTGCTGCTCCCGTTAGTGCTCCCCAGAGATGTTAGGGGCCTGTGGTAGGTGGAGGGTTCCTTGAGTGGGCTAATGGTGGAAGCAGGACCCCTGTGATCTGTGCAGGGGAATGAGCTGGGACAGACTCGCAGGATGAGGTGAGGGCACAACTCGCAGCTGAGGGGCAGGATGAGGGGAGGGCACGACCTGCAGCCGAGGGTCAGGGCAGGATGAGGGGGGGGCACGACTCGCAGCTGAGGGGCAGGATGAGGGGAGGGCACGACCTGCAGCCGAGGGTCAGGGCAGGATGAGGGGGGGGCACGACTCGCAGCTGAGGGGCAGGATGAGGGGAGGGCACGACCTGCAGCCGAGGGTCAGGGCAGGATGAGGGGGGGGCACGACTCGCAGCTGAGGGGCAGGATGAGGGGAGGGCACGACCTGCAGCCGAGGGTCAGGGCAGGATGAGGGGGGGGCACGACTCGCAGCTGAGGGGCAGGATGAGGGGAGGGCACGACCTGCAGCCGAGGGTCAGGGCAGGATGAGGGGGGGGCACGACTCGCAGCTGAGGGGCAGGATGAGGGGAGGGCACGACCTGCAGCCGAGGGTCAGGGCAGGATGAGGGGGGGGCACGACTCGCAGCTGAGGGGCAGGATGAGGGGAGGGCACGACCTGCAGCCGAGGGTCAGGGCAGGATGAGGGGGGGGCACGACTCGCAGCTGAGGGGCAGGATGAGGGGAGGGCACGACCTGCAGCCGAGGGTCAGGGCAGGATGAGGGGGGGGCACGACTCGCAGCTGAGGGGCAGGATGAGGGGAGGGCACGACCTGCAGCCGAGGGTCAGGGCAGGATGAGGGGGGGGCACGACTCGCAGCTGAGGGGCAGGATGAGGGGAGGGCACGACCTGCAGCCGAGGGTCAGGGCAGGATGAGGGGGGGGCACGACTCGCAGCTGAGGGGCAGGATGAGGGGAGGGCACGACCTGCAGCCGAGGGTCAGGGCAGGATGAGGGGGGGGCACGACTCGCAGCTGAGGGGCAGGATGAGGGGAGGGCACGACCTGCAGCCGAGGGTCAGGGCAGGATGAGGGGGGGGCACGACTCGCAGCTGAGGGGCAGGATGAGGTGAGGGCACGACCTGCAGCTGAGGGCCAGGGCAGGATGAGGTGGGGGCATGACCCGCAGCTGAGGGTCAGGGCAGGATGAGGTGGGGGCATGACCCGCAGCCGAGGGCCAGGGTAGGATGAGGTGGGGGCACGACCCGCAGCTGAGGGTCAGGGCAGGGTGATGGGTCATGACCCCCAGTTGAGAGTTGGAGTTTGGGTCATGACCCCCAGCCCAGGTTTGGAGTGGGTTTAAAACCTCCCCCAACCCGAGAGTTGGAGCAGGGACATGACTCCCCAGCAGGAGTTGGGGGAGGGGCAAGACACCCAGTTGAGAGTTGGGGAGGGATGGAGCGTGGGGCATGACTCCCATCTGAGAGTTGGGACCAGGTGGAGCAGGGACACGACCCCCTAGCCAAGAAATGAAGGGGGTGATGGGCCAGTATTTATATGTGGGGACGGGCATGTCGGTGATTTCTGTTGAAGTTTGGTGACCGGTCCTCTTCCTGTGTGCTTCATTCTTCAATCTCATTGTGACTTTTTCCTCAATAAGCCCCCCAATTCTCGCGTCTTTGCGCGTTTCTTGTACTCAGGGTAGTTAATTTAATTTCAATGGGCCGCACAACATGTGACAGCACAGCAAGGCTTTTGCATCTTTGTGGGAAGCTCTGCACATTTTTTGCACTTGTTGCAGAACGTACATCTTGTTTGGGGCGCCATTACCAGCGAATGCTATTTTTGTGCAGGAAATAGCAGGATCTTGTCCACGTTCACATGCTGTACAATGTCTCCTCCCCATTACAGTCCTGTCCCTGACTACATTCTCTAATAAATCACAACGTCAGTGGTCACATGACTGCAAAGCGCCGGCTATTGTGCGTCTGCGGAGGGTCGACACCACTGGCGAATCCCAAGAATAGTGACGTCACCCGCCATCTTCTGTACCGCTAAGGTGTTGTCTTCCAGGAGAGAAGGGGGATGGAGCGCCAGCTTGGTGGTCACATGAGCGCACAACCTTCAATAATGTGACATCGGTATTAGGGAATGTGATGGTAAGAGGGAGGCGACGTTTCACAGGGGGGTTATTATATTGACTTTCCTTCTTTAAGGAATTGCAGAATTGCCACCCATCACCCCCCTCCCCTGTAGGTGGTGGTGTGGGAACACCTCGGCTTGTGATGCTATTCCCGAACACACCCTCCACAGACCCCTTGGCTGTCTCTCGTACAGAAAGCTTAAAGGAGAGCTATGAGCTGAGTGATTTTCACTCATCCTCATAGTACGAGCCGACGCGTGACAATGAGACTCACACGTCGGCTCAATAGATCGGGAAGTGAGCGAACACATACCGGCACTCGCTCACTTCTCAATCATATCCCTGCAGAGAGCCATGACTGTCACTCACGGCTCCCTGCTGGGATTCCCCCCCTTCCCGCTCCGATCCTCCAGCTCTGACTGGCGGGAACAGACTGGGGAGGGTGCGGGTACAGCTGGCTCTGCCTCTAGATAGGCAGAGCCAGCTGTCAATCATGCTGTTGGGTGGATCTCGTCAGTAATGTCGGGATCCGTCCCGAGCTGCGGTGTCTCAGTATACCGCGGTATACTCAGCTTTGGGTGACGGGAGGACGCTAGTTTGTGTCCTCCCGTTACCCTTAGGAGAACAATAGGGAAAAACGCTGACCCCATAGTTCTCCTTTAGGGTGGGCTTGGCATCAGATTTCTTTCTATGTTCGGTACATTCATGTGATGTGCAGTACTGACACTTCCAGGTATTTAACTCTCGCAAAGTTCACCGTAATCCCCAACATTAACTTATTTTGTATTTATCTCCGGACAGGCAGTGCTGTCTTTTTTTTTTTTTTTTGGCATCTTCCAGGGTCATTCTCTACATCTTGGTCTAAGGTGGTGGGTAAGGGATGAGATGTTCTTGTATATCCTGGTGCCTGTTCTGTTTTTGGCTGGGTTCACAAATGTGTGACACAGATCAGCCCCCCCTGTGACTTCCTTCAAAGTTACAATGTGATCACTATGGCTAAGTAGACTGAGGACATGCTTCTTCCTGTCTGTCGCCGACTGATGACATCACCTTGGCCTACGCAAAGTCTGTTTGCTCATTGTTTTTATAGTTTAAATAAACTCTACCTGTAATAAGTGTTGTAGAGGTTGGTATCCAGAGTGTGGCATGGTATTGGCACGTGTTGCAATCAATAGGGGTGTCTGTTGTAATGCATTTTGTGCTACCTGTAGTAGATTATTGGGGTGTCACCATGCATAGTGTCCTACCTGTACTGGGTTATTGGGGTGTCACCATGCATAGTGTCCTACCTGTACTGGGTTATTGGGGTGTCACCATGCATAGTGTCCTACCTTTACTGGGTTATTGGGGTGTCACCATGCATAGTGTCCTACCTGTACTGGGTTATTGGGGTGTCACCATGCATAGTGTGCCACGTGTTGCAGTGAGTCATATACCTTGGTACATTGGTCTGTATAGCTATGCTTGGCTGGTCAATATTTGGTGCTGTGTGTGTATAGTGTATTGCGCTGTGTATAGCGTAGTGTATAGTGTGTTGCTGTGTCTGGGGCACTATGAGGGATTTGTATCAGTTGTTGCACAAGGCAATGAAACGACATCACCTTCATAGACGACAACCAGAGGAGATGTCAGCAGTTGGGCTCCGGCTGTGATGTGTAAGGAGCAGCATTGGGTACCCGGCTCCAGGGCTTTGTCCTGTAAGAGTTCCTCTTCATTCATAAATCCCTCCCTATGACAATAAAACGTGTCCCTGACCCCTTCCTAATTGTGCGTCTGTTAGAGCCAGACTCATTTTCATGCAGATCTGTCTGGTTCCGGGTCTGTCGGGTCATGTATGCACATATTGTCATGTTACATAGAAGAAACCTCCTGATGTGTGTTTTATGGTCACACATTCATGTGGTAGATGTCCCTCCGTGTGTCTTTACTGGTGTATGTTACACATGTCCCATGTATTGTATTCATTGATCCGTGTAACATAGGTGAGGACATGTATACAGGTGGAGCGGTGATATAGTAACGTGTTCTGGTCAGGCAGACTGATGGATGGTGTTCTATGTCGGAGCGTCCATGAATGTCACATTGTACGACTGGTTTATCTGTAATGATAAAGTATATGGAGAGAGAACGGAACATTTCCCTTTCCTGTAAGACGTTCAGCCAGTCCAGTGATCCTAGTGACAACTTGATGGGTTTGTTTGAATTTCCTTTCTCTTTACTGTACTGTAGGTGGAGAGTGTGGATTTTTTGTTTGGAAGTCTTTGTGACTTTGCGTTGTCATGTTGGTATGTTTATGAATTGCTGTGCAAAAATCTGCACACAAAGATCCTTTCATACAGATGTTTAGAGTCCGTGTGTCTTCAGAGCGCTTGTATGGTATAACCCCCCCGGTCATCTATTCAGTCCGGCAGCATCATGGATCCTTCCTTTATGGCTCTGGGGGGCAATGGTGGACGCTCTTAAGCTGGTCATACACTGAGTTGAATTTGTTCAGGAGGTGGTGGTCCTGTTGGCAGCCGCATCCCTGACATCCTTCAAACCAGAAAATCAAAGTAGCCGGGTGGAGAATTGTCGGCCTATCAGTGACTGCAGCTAATCCACTGCGGTCACTGTTCAGGTATTCTGATGGCGGCACACACATCACTGTGGACATACAATAGCCACACTGTGGGATTTGTCTGTCAAAACTATTAACATATGGCCAGCTTTATTCTCTGTGAGCTCTGGCTGCCAAGTGATGCATCCCTAGGGGCTAGATCTATGACCGCCAGGGGCCACAGGACATGGATCGAATGGTCAACATTCAGCCTTGAGGAAAAGCACAGCTGGAACTCAGGACTTTCTGTAGGGGGCAATGCTGGTTGGTGGTGGTAGGATTATTTATTTTTACATTTCTATATTATTCTTTTGTGTGTGTTTTTATCGATGGATGGATGGATGGAGGGTGTCTTGATGGATGGATGGATGGAGGGTGTCTTGATGGATGGATGGATGGATGGTGTCTTGATGGATGGATGGTGTCTTGATGGATGGAGGGTGTCTTGATGGATGGAGGGTGTCTTGATGGATGGAGGGTGTCTTGATGGATGGAGGGTGTCTTGATGGATGGA